CAGAGGCCAGTGACTTACCCACCGAACTCCTCTCTGAGACCTTGCTTAAAGTCAGAGGCACAGGTCCCTGGCCTAGGGCAGGGCAGACTGCTGCCTGAAGCCACACATTGTGTAAGGGTCAGTGGCAGAAGGGTCTAACAGGCCACCGCTAATGCCTGCTCACCTGGGACGGTGCCATTGGCCCTCTCGGAGGGCAGCTCTGTAGGGACGGACTGGCATGTGACAGGGCTTGCAAAGAAGCAGCCACCCTCTCACCTATGCAGAGACCTGTCTACTGAGAAGGAGACTTTGAAGAAGGTAAGAGGGCTAAGGGACGCAGAAGCTGAGACAGAGAGATGAGATGACACACCCCACGGCCCATTGCACCTGCACAGGGACAGTGGGAGAAATCTGGCCTGGGCAGCTGTCAGGACACGATGGGCATTTGAAATGGCTGTGCCCCTGTCCTCATTCTCTGACCCGCACTGACCTTGAACTCTCGTTGTGTCCTCTCTGATCCCTCCTCCTGGGTCCCTGGGCTCCATTTGCCCCCTGCAGCTCCCTGGGTGCCAGGCCCACAGGCATTTTCCCTGTGGCCACCAGCAGCTACCTCACTAGGATAAAGACCAGCTTGGAGAGGCCTTCTTTTAAAGATTTACTATCTAGTTGAAAGAAAGTGTGACGGGGTCGAGGACTGGAGAGAGAGAGAGAGATCGTCCATCTGCCGGTTTGCTCCCGAAATGCCAGCAACAGCCAGAGGTAGGCAAGCTGAAGCCAGGAGCCAGGAACTCCATCTAGGTCTCCCACGTGAGTGCAGGGGCCCAAGTACTTGGGCCATCCTTTGCTGCCTTCCTAGGTGCATTAGCAGGGAGCTGGCTCTGAAGTGGAGCAGCTGGAACTGGAAGTGACACTCTGATATAGGATGCCAGCGTCACAAGTGGTGGGCCAGGACGCTGGGGAGGGGCCCTCTTAATCCTTAGTTCTTCTTGTTCAGGGGCAGAATCTGAGGCTGGGAGAGCAAGTGACTTGTCCAAACTCACAAAGCTTGCTAGTGACAGAGGGCGGCCGGAGCCCATTGCCGCCGGCCCTGGCTGACAGTTCCCCTGTTCTTGCCTCCTGCTCTCCCTGCCCCTCCCCCAGCTCTAAAGGGAGGTGGAGAGGAGCCGGGGCTTCTAGTCGGTGTCTTCCTCACCCTGACCAGCAGCCGTGGCTTCCCTCAGCTCGTCCTGCAGAGGTGTCGGGCAGTGGCCACAGGGGGGCAGCAGCAGGAGCACAGGCGTTGCCCTGGACTTTGAGCAACCAGACTTGGGGTTTTGAGGTCTCTGCCTTGAGGACACCCACAGAGCGCCCCCCAGCCCCAGGGATGAAGTCCCAGCCTTCCAGCTTCCCTCTGAAGAGCCCCCATTCATTTGTTCATTCGTTTATTCATTAGTCGTTTATGGAGGACTCCCCTGGTGCCTGGCTCTGTCTGGGCTGGCATCATTTGCCGTCCCTTCCCCGTACAGCGCTGGGGGAGGAACTCAGGGGAGGAGCTGCCACTGCCTATGGGGTGGGGGGAGGGCAGGGGCGGGGCTGCCGCCTGTCCAGGAGGCAGCTCCTGGCTCTAGAGCCCTGGCCCCAACTTAGAGCTCCTACTTTTTTTTTTTTTTTTTTTTTTGAAAGGCAGAGTTACAGAGACACACACACACACACACACACATCTTCCATCTGCTGGTTCACTCAAATGGCTGCAACAGCCAAGGCTAAGCCAGGGGCCCAGAACTCAATCTGGGTCTCCCATGTGGGTGGCAGGAATCCAAGTACTTGAGCCAGGGGTCTCCCAGGGTGTGTAATTAGCAGGAAGCTGGGTCGGAGTGCAGGGGCTGGGACTCGAAACCAGAAACTCCACGAAAATGGGATGCAGCTGTCCCAAGCAGCATCTTAACTGCTGTGCCACACGCTGGCCTCCAGCTTCCACTTCTCAGTGGCCTTGTACTTCTCTGTCTCCCATGAGCACGCGTGCCCTTTGAGAGCAGGTTCTGTTTTGCTCACCATCATGTCTATAGCAATAGCTGATCCATTTTAGATATTTAAATACACGTAGAATGAATGAGTGAATAAACAGACTTTCCTCCCCAGGTCCCCAAAGACTCAGCCTCCCCTTCTTCTCTTGCTCTGTCACTTTCCTTCCTTCTACCTCTCATCAGCTGGGCTCCATTGCCCCTGCAGCAGTGGTGGTCCCACGCAAGGGAACTGAATGGCAAATCCCATTCACGATTGCAAGCAGGTCAGCTGGGCGGCCGCTATGGGAAGAGCATGCAATCAGCAGCGTGGAGCTGAAGCAATCGCAGGTGGTGGTGGCCCTGAGCCTCGATGGATGCCATCAGGAGCTGCTGTGGGCCAGGCTTGCCTGGGGTGGGGGGATGACTTTGGCTCCCTGTTGCTCAGGGCTTCACCCCCTGGGCAGGGCTGAGGGGGCACCGACAAAGCCCAGCTGTCCTGTCTTCTGGGCTCTGCAGAGCTGGAAGAGCTGGGGCCCCTGCAGGTGCAAGCTGTCTCTGAGTGCGTTCATATCGTGAGCAAGCTTCCTTTGAAGAGGCCTGGAAACTCTCTTCTAGTGGCCAGCCCCTTCCATGGCCAGGAACTGTGTTCCTGAGTTCTGGGGCCCTCTCTGTTGTCCTGGGCCAGCCCCAGTTTCCTCCTACATCATCTTCCTGAATCACCATGAGGCAGTGGGGTCAGATACCCTGGGCTCCCAGGCTGAGTCCCCAAGGCCTCAGGCCACTACTGCCCCAGTTTGTCTCTCTGGCCCTGTCCTATGCCCACCCACCCCGCCCCAGCTTTCCTGCCTTGCCATCAATCAGCCTCCAGCCTTCTAAGAGCGCCTCACAGGGGCACAGCCCTCAGCAGCTTCCCTGCTGTCTGCACAGTGCCGTTCCACGCTCCCCTTGGTTGTGGATGGCAGAGTGGGAGTCACATACTAATAACGAGTTTCAGGGGTTGGTGGTGGACTTGGGAGGGAAGCACTGTTTGGGGGAGTATTTGAGCAAGTGGCCAGGAAGGGTTGGGGGGTGAGTACATGAATTTGTCGGTTGAGCGGCTTCTGGGGATGACAAGGCCCAGGGTGTGTCCATGGGAGATGCATGAGGAGAGGAGGGAAAGGCTGCGAACAGTGCAGGCCAAGGAATCGGGCAGCAGGGAGGCGAAGGCCTGGCCCCCAACATAGTGAAGTCACTGAGGACGATGACAGCAACTGAGCGGGAAGGGGGCTGGGGGCCAGGGGCCAAGTCTCGGTCAAGCAGAATGAGACACCAGGATTGGGAGTGCAGCAGAGGGGAAGGGGGTGGTCCAGCCTGGGAGTCTTCCAGGAGCCAGAGCTCCCAAGAGGCAGGAGGAACGGAGGGAGGGAGGCAGACTCCACATCTGCACTTAGCCACAAGGCACGGAGCGAGGAGGGGCCAAAAGCCCCTGTTGCGCAGGGCAGTGGGGCCAATGGGGCTGAGCTGAGGCCGGTGGCAGGGAGGAAGTGTCCGAGCAGAGGCTAGCTTTCAGATCACTGCCTGGATTTCCAGGGGTCTTGCTTCCAGGGTGGGGGGTCTGGACCCCACAGGGAAGAGACCCTGGGAGCAAGTTCTGACTCAAGTCAGCAGGAAAGCGAGAGTGGAGCAAACCCTTTCCTTTCAGCCTCTGCTGGCAGAGCTGAGGGCTCGCCTTTCAGTGGCGTCCCAAACAGGCGTGGAAGACAAACCCCCTGTGGCATTACCACCTGTGAAACCACAAAGCGCCAAGTCCAAAGCAGTCTATTAGGACTGGATGACACTGCGGGACTTCAAGGCATCTAAGGGTATGTCATCACATATTTTCCTCTCTTCCTACGCAACCCTGCAAGATGGGCCATTATCAGGGTGAACTCAGAGTGGCCTGCTCAAGGCCACGTCCTTAAGAAGCATCAGGGCCGGGACACAAGCTCTCTGCCCTCTGCGCTGCCTTCTGAGTGCTCTGAAGAGGGCTGTGCTTTCTGAGTCGCTTGCAATCCTCGAAAGGCCTGCTGCCGCTCTCTGCGCTATCACGGAATGACTGCCTTCTCCCCACAGAGGCCTCCACGCTCCACCTCTCCTTACAGGACTTCCTAGCTGGTACGGTGGGGGCAGTGAGGAGGCCAGGCCCGCGAGTCACAGCTAAACTGAGCACAGCTCCGTTTGCTCAACTGGAGCAGAGGCAGAACTGGGGACTCAGGGAAGGAGCGGATCCCCACCTCTCATTCTGCCTCCCCAGCTCCTGGCTGGGCTCCGGGGGAAAACTCAAGTTATCTCGTCCAGGGGTGGCTTCCAAGCGCCTACACTATCGCTGTCACTCCCTCTCTGGCTTCCGAAAACCCCTGGACGGAAGAAGGGCTTCTCGCTGGGCTGAAAGCGCCAAACTGCAGCAGCGCCTCCAGTTATCAAACCTGTTCCACAATGAAACCGCGTGCGTCCCACGAACCCCCCCCCCCCGGCGTGACGTCACCAGACCTAGCCCGGTGGTGTCACCGTCTCGCTACCTCTCCAGAACAACCCATTTTCACTGCGGGGAAAATGAGGATTTGCCTTGGCACAGGCATTAAGATATACAAACACGAAGGCAGTTTGAAAAACGTCTTTGACGTTTTACTCTCTGTCATTTTTCCCATAATGTTTTTAGGGCCGTGTGTAAGGGAATGTGAGGTTCATCCCAGGAAATATTAACGTGTAACCCCTCTCGGAGGAAAGTAGTCGCGTCCGGTCCGCCCGGGAGTGGGCGAGGTGGGCGGGGCCGTGACGCACGGCGTTGGGCGGAGCTGGACTCTTCCACGTGAGTCCGGGCAGGGGAGCTGCTCTACGGGGCAAGGCGGTAGTGGGAATGAACATTTGTCTCCGGGTCTCTCTCGTCCTTTCCCTCCATATTTGTCTAGACATGAGTGAAAGCCCATAGAAGCACAGTTGCGGGCTGCCCGCCCTTTCCATAGCCATGAAGAAGGAGAGCGGGCGGAATCCCTTCGGCTGCAGCTTCAACCTGGTGGTCGCGTCCATTTCGCGCACCGGGGCGGGGGGGCGACCTTAGGAGGTAGGGGAGGCGTAGGCTTTAGGGATCCCAGAGTGGTGGCCCCATGGCCCCGCTGGGAGGCGCCCCTCGGCTGGTGCTGCTGTTCAGCGGGAAGAGGAAATCCGGGAAGGACTTCGTGACCGAGGCTCTGCAGAGCAGGTGTCCGTGGGTTGGGGGAGGAGGAGGAGGAAGGGAAGCCCTCTACATCACGTGACACGAGGGGTGTGTTTGGAACTGAGGTGGTGGTGGGGTCCTGCGGGTCAGGGCAGGAAGATCACTGGGGAAAGGGGGAGAGGGGAAGATTGCCTTTGTGACAGCCAGTGGTCTACACACCCATCCCTAAAAGCAGGCGACCACCTTTCCAAAACCCTTAAGCTGTAGATTTCGAATTGCCTTAAGAAGCCCGAATGACAGTTACTGGCAAGGCGTTGTCTATGCGCTGTAGGGTTCCTGATTCTCACTGCACTGTTGCAGGATAACTGTCACAGATGGGGAAACTGAGGCTCAGGTAGGGGATTCACCTGCAACCCCTTCCCAAGTGTGTCTGATTCCCAGGGCAGGATCCTTGTCCAGGACGACGCCTAACAGTTGGGGTGTATTGAGCCTTTATTACTTGCCTGGTGTTGTGTGTATATATAAATATATATATATTTAAATGTTTATTTATTTGAAAGAGTTACACAGAGAGAAGGAGAGGCAGAGAGAGAGAGAGAGAGAGGTCTTCTATCCAATGGTTCACTCCCCAATTGGCTTCAACAGCTGGAGCTGCACCTATCTGAAGCCAGGAGCTAGGAGCTTCTTCTGGGTCTCCCACGCGGATGCAGGGGCCCAAGGACTTGGGCCATCCTCTACTGCTTTCCCAGGCCATAGCAGAGAGCTGGATCGGAAGTGAAGCAGCTGGGACTCGAACTGGTGCCTATATGGGATGCCGGCACTGCAGTCGGCGGCTTTACCTGCTACGCCACAGCGCTAGCCCCTCTGTGCATATATTATGTTACCTCTTTGTTAGGTGCAGTGTGGTATTGTTAACAATTCCACTTCACAGATGAAGAAAGCCAGCCTCTGAAATGGTAAACAACAAATGGAGACTGGTGCTGTAGTGCAGTGAGTTAAGCTGCCACCTGCAATATGGGCACCAGTTGGAGTCCTATCTGCTCCACTTCTGATCCAGCTCCCTGCTGATGAGCCTGGGAAAGCAGTGGAGGATGGCCCAGGTCCCTGGGACCCTTCCACCCACGTGGGAGACCGATGAAGCATCTGGCTCCTGGCTTCAGCCTGGCCCAGCCCCAGCCATTGTGGTCATTTGGGGAGTGAACCAGCGGATGAAAGATCTTTCTCTGTCTCTGTCTCTCCCCCTCTCTCTGTAACTCTGCTTTTCAAATGAAATAAATAAATCTTTATAACAAAACAAAAACAAAACTAACAAATGAAAACATGCCAGGGTTACAAAGTGAGTAGCAAATCTAGGATTCAATTCAGCTCTGACTACAAGGACTGGGTTCTTTCTGCTTTACCTCACTGCCTCCCCAAATACTAACACAGCCGACCCACTGATTCCACAACCACACATTCCACCAATTGCAAATCAAAAATCATTACAGGGCTGGTGTTGTGGTATAATGGGTAAAGTTGCTGCCTGGAATGCCAGCATCCCATACGGGTGCTTGTTTGTGTCCCAGCTGCTCCAGTTCCAATCCAGCTACCTGCTAATGGCCTGGGAAAAGCAGCCAAAAATGGTCCAAGTGTTCAGACCTCTGCCACCCATGTGGGAGACCTGGAAGAAGCTCTCAGCTCCTGGTTTTGGGCTGCCCCAGCCCTGGCTATTGCAGCCATCTGGGGAGTGAACTAGTGGATGGGAGATCTGTGTCTGTCTCTCCCTCTCTCTAACTCTGACTTTCAAATAAATAAATAAAAATCATCAAAATAATTGAATGCTATGTACATGTACAGATTTTTTTCATTTTTCTCTATACCATACAGTGTAACAAGTATTTACATAGCCTTTATTTGGTATTAAGTATTATAAGTAATCTAGAGATAATTTCTTTTTTTTTAAAGATTTATTTACAGCCAGCACCTCAGCTCACTAGGCTAATCCTCCGCCTGCGGCGCCAGTACCCCAGGTTCTAGTCCTGGTTGCTCCTCTTCCAGTCCAGCTCTCTGCTGTGGCCCGGGAAGGCAGTGGAGGATGGCCCAAGTGCTTGGACCCTGCACCCGCATGGGAGACCAGGAGAAGCACCTGGCTCCTGGCTTCGGATTGGCGCAGCGCGCCGGCCGTGGCAGCCATTTCAGGGGGTGAACCAATGAAAGGAAGACCTTTCTCTCTGTTTCTCTCTCTCACTATCTAACTCTGCCTGTCAAAAAAAAATTGTCATGGGACTATTAAAAAAAGGATTTATTTACTTATTTGAAAGAGTTACAGAGAGAGAGATACAGAGAGAGCGAGCAAGCGAGCTTCCATCTGCTGGTTCTCTCTTCTAATGGCTGCAACATTATGAACTGGGCTAGGCTGAAGCCAGGAACCTGGAACTCCATCCAAGGTCTCCCATATTGGTGGCAGGAGCCCAAGCACTGGGCCTTCTGCTGTTTTCCCAGGTTCATTAGCAGGGAGCTGGATTGGAATTGGAGCAGCCAGGACTCGAACTGTTGCCCATAACGGATATTGGTATCACAGGTGATTGCTTAACCCATTGTGCCATGATGCTGGATCTTAGAGATGATTTAGAGCCTAGGGGAAGATGTCTATAGTTACATGCAAATGAACCATATAGTTACATGCAAATGAACCTTTTTTTTTTTTCCTGACAGGCAGAGTGAACAGTGAGAGAGACAGAGACAGAGAGAAAGGTCTTCCTTTTGCCGTTGGTTCACCCTCCAATGGCCGCTGTGGCCGGCGCACCGCGCTGATCTGAAGCCAGGAGCAAGATGCTTCTCCTGGCCTCCCATGGGGTGTAGGGCCCCAGTACTTGGGCCATCCTCCACTGCACTCCCTGGCCACAGCAGAGAGCTGGCCTGGAAGAGGGGCAACCGGGACAGAATCTGGCGCCCCGACCGGGACTAGAACCCGGTGTGCCGGTGCCGCAAGGCGGAGGATTAGCCTAGTGAGTTGCGGCACCGGCCGAACCATCTTTTTTAAAGATTTATTTATTGGAAAGGCAGAGGGGTAGGGAGGGAGGGCAGGGAGAGAAGTCTGCTGGTTCATTCCCCAGATGGCTGCAACAGCTAGTGTTGAGGCAGGCTGAAGCCAGGAGTCTGGAAACTCTATCTGCTCCCATGTGGGTAGCGGGGACCTAAGTACTTGAGCTGTTTTCTGTAGGAAGCTGGCCTTCCTACGTGTATTAGCTGGAGAAGCCGATTGGAAGTGGAGCATGGCCGGTGCTGTGGCTCAATAGGCTAATCCTCTGCCTTGCGGCGCCGGCACCCCGGGTTCTAGTCCCGGTCGGGGTGCTGGATTCTGTCCCGGTTGTCCCTCTTCCAGGCCAGTTCTCTGCTATGGCCCAGGAGTGCAGTGGAGGATGGCCCAAGTGCTTGGGCCCTGCACCCCATGGGAGACCAGGAGAAGCACCTGGCTCCTGCCTTCGGATCAGTGCAATGCGCCGGCCGCAGCGCGCCGGCCGTGGCGGCCATTGGAGGGTGAACCAATGGCAAAGGAAGACCTTTCTCTCTGTCTCTGTCTCTCTCACTGTCCACTCTGCCTGTCAAAAAAAAAAAAAAAAAAAAAAGAGGAAGTGGAGCGGAGCAGCAGGGACTTGAACCGGCACTTGATGTGGGCTGCCGGCATCACAAAGGGTGGCTTAGCCCACTGGTGGCCACCATGTTGGCCCCAAAGCTGTCTTACATAAGGGACTTGAGTATCCTCAGAGTTTGGCCTCAGCAGGGGTCCCACAGATACTGAGGGGCAACTGTGGTGGCTTTTACTCAGTGTTTCCCCTTGAGTAGGATACTCTGTGTGGAGCATTTTGCTGGGGCACAGGCTGGGTGAATAGAGGAGGGGGAGGAGTGGGGTGAGGCAGTGCTGCCCTTGGAGGCCAGTGATTGGGGTGCCGAGAGGTCGTGGCAGAGCCGAGGGCAGATGGTGCCCCCTGAATCTTGGACCACCAAGTATCACCACTGTTTCCCAGGTTGCTTCCGTCCTTTTCCCAAACACCAGAGTCACACAGTGGTTGGAAGCATGGCCCCTAGGAGGAGACTGCTGGGACTGCGGTCCTGGCTTGCTGCCGCTTCATGTGTGATCTTGCACACGGTGCCCATTCACAGGGGCTAAGAATAGGGCGGTTGTCTGGGGAAAGCGAGATAACGTGTGAGAAAGGCTTAGGACAATTGTTGGCACCTGCCAAAGGCAGGGGTGAGATGTTGGCTATTTTTATTTCACCAGTGCTGGCTTCATTGCCTACAGTGTGGCTTTAGGCAACTCAGTTCTTCTTATACAACCTCAGTTTCTTACTCAAAACATGGAACAATAAGAACAGTTGTCCCATCGTGTTGGAGTTTTTTTTTTTTTTTTTAATTTATTTTTTATTTTTTGACAGGCAGAGGGGACAGTGAGAGAGAGAGACAGAGAGAAAGGTCTTCCTTTTGCCGTTGGTTCACCCTCCAATGGCCACTGTGGCCGGCGCGCTGCGCTGATCTGAAGGCAGGAGCCAGGTGCTCTCCTGGTCTCCCATGCGGGTGCAGGGTCCAAGCACGTGGGCCATCCTCCACTGCACTCCCTGACCACAGCAGAGAGCTGGCCTGGAAGAGGGGCAACCGGGACAGAATCTGGCGCCCCAACTGGGACTAGAACCTGGGGTACTGGCGCCGTAGGCAGAGGATTAGCCTATTGAGCCACAGCACTGCCCTACATGTTGGAGTTTAACTCTGTGAGCATTCCAGGGCCAGAGCCAGAATCATGGGTCGCATTCCCATTGAATCACCTGGGTCCAAATACAGTCCCCAGTACACAGCCGGCTAAGGATGTGGAATCAATGGGTTATGATTGCCGGGGTGACCAAGCCAGGTGAGACAGAGAGGGCCCTGGCAGTGACAAGATTAGTTCATTTTACCTGTGCTGACCTAATCTAACCAGAGCATGGCCAGGCCTGGATGTCCACACTGTAAGTCGGCATTTTGTGCATTTTACCTGTTAGCCTCAGAGCTCTTTTGTATTTATTTGAATTTTGCAATAGCAACAGAACAGAAGCTGACAAACAGAAGTTGTCACTCCTAACTTACAGATGTGGAAATAGGATCGGAGAAGCTGAGACCCACAAAAGTTGCAACGTCACTGGTAGGAGAGGTGGGCGCCACTCTCCAGGCTCCTGGAAGCTCTGGGTTAACCTGGTTCTGCTCTCCCTGTCCCGCAGGCTTGGCGCTGGCGTCTGTGCTGTCCTCCGGCTCTCGGCGCCGCTCAAGGAGCAGTACGCTCAGGTAGCTGGTGGCCGTGTGGCGTCTTTGGGGTGGGAGGTGCCCTTCCCTCGGCGTAGGAGCTGTGGCTGCTGCTGGGGGCCTCTGTGCGGTCTCTGTGACCCTGCTGGCAGGAGCGGCCGCAGCTCTTGGTTTTCTGTGGGCGACTCTTTGGGGACACTTGCAGCTTCAACTTCTTTCCCAGCGGCCTCACTCACTAGAATGTGCAAGGGTGTGTGTCCTGGAGATGCGGGAAGTGACAGCTGTGATTCGGTGTGGTTAGTGAGGGTCTGCACGTGTCCCCTCACTCAAAAACCAGGGCACTGATGTCACACAAACACACACGCCCCACAGCTGGCTGGAGACCAATCCTGGGATTCTGCCCTTAGAAATTTAGACACATGGGTTGTCCAGATACATTGTTACCTGAGAGAAAACCAACAACCAGGAGTAGAAGGGAGTATACAGAGTGCTACATTTGTGTAAAACTGAAGAGGAAACCTGGGGTTGAGTGGGAATTATAAACGATGTATAAATATGCACTCAGCTACTCTGCAGATACTCTGGGGTGCCTGGGTCACGTGAGGCACTGCTGTGGCTGCTTTTATGTGCACCTGCTACCACCTGGGACCAACACATAGGGGCTGCATCATGGGTTGACTCCAGGGAGGGGACACGGGTAGGAGAGAGACTTTTTCACTGTAAATGCTGTATGGCTTTCAGATTTCGAACCATGTGGTTTAAAAATACAGCTTTATTAAAGCAGAGTTTTTAAAAATAAACAGGAACTTTCAGAAATCTTAGATTTCAGGAAAGGCACCTAGGACGTGAGATTGGTTTCTTGCATAGTGAAGAGCCACCCCCCCCCCCCCCCGCTTTGTCACCTGTGTTTTTGCTTTTGACCTCTGGGTGCACCCTGCCAGGGACTTATGCTCATGGGGCGCTGGGCAGCTGACCCAGGACTGGCTTTGTACCCATCCCTGTGGGATACCAAAGAGCAATGAGGTTCATAGTTTTAATTTTTTTTTTAAAGATTTATTTATTTGTTTGAAAGGCAGAGTTACAGAGAGGCAGAAGCAGAGAGAGGTCTTTCAGCCCCTGGTTCACTCCCCAAATAGCTGCAATAGCTGGAGTTGGGCCGATTCTAAGCCAGGAGCCAGGAGCTTCTTCCAGGTCTCCCATGTGGGTGCAGGGGCCCAAGGACTTGGGCCATCTTGTACTGCTTTTCCAGGCCATAGCAGAGAGCTGGATCAGAAGTGGAGCAGCTGGGACTTGAACTGGTACCCATATGGGATGCTGGCACTGCAGGTGATGGCTTTACCTGCTGTGCCACAGCACTAGCCCCTGGTTTTAAATTTTTTAAGAAATGTATATAATTGCTAGAATTTATTAGGTATATTTACATATCAGGACCCATGCTGGAATTTTATCTTTTTTTTTTTTAAGATTTATTTACTTATTTGAAAGTGAGAATTACACAGAGAGAAGGAGAGGCATCCTCTGGTTTGCTCCCCAATTGGCTGTAATGGCTGGAGCTGAGCCAATCTGAAGCTAGGAGCCAGGGGTGTCTTCCTGGTCTCCCACATAGTTGCAGGGGCCCAAGGACTTGGGCCAACTTCTACTGCTTTCCCAGGCCATAGCAGAGAGCTGGATTGGAAGTGGAGCAGCTGGGACTTGAACCAGTGCCTATATGGGATGCCGGCACTGCAGACGGCGGCTTTACCCACTATGCCACAGCGCCAGCCTCCTGTTATTTTTAAAAATAATTTTATTTGGGAATAATTTTAGATTTATAGAAAAAATTGCAAAGATAGTGCAGAGAACTCTTGTATACTCTGCATCCAGGTTTCTGGTAGTAACATTTTACCAAATCATTTACATTTGTCTAAGCTAAGAAGCTTATGTAGGCACAGTATTATTGACTGTCCTTCAGATTTCGTTTGGATCACATTAATTTCCCCTGAATATTCAAGTTTTCAAAAAAATATTTTTAAGCAGGAACTTTTCCCAGTTGAAATTGGCTGCAGAATATCCTTGGATCCAGGCAGGACTCTGGTTAGAGGGGATTGGGAAAGAGAAGGCATGGCAGAGGCACCTGGGAACTTCTGTAGGTCCCCAATGAGCAGTTTCAAACCACCAATCTGCTAACAAGGTTCCCACACTAGGCCCTGCTCTGGACCCACTGAGCTGGACAAAATATGGGGATGAGGGAACAGGAGTTTGAATTTTTTTTTTTTTTAAGATTTATTTGTTTGACAGGCAGGGTAACACACCCACACCCACACCCACACCCACACCCACACCCACACACAAAGAGAGAGAGAGAGAGAGAGAGAGAGAGAGAGAGAGAGAGATGATCCTCCAGGGGGCCCCAATGGCCAAATAGCTGGAGCTGGGTCAGAACAAAGCCAGGAGCCAGCAACTCTATCCAGGTCTCCCACGTGGGTGCAGGGACCCAAGCACTGGGACCATCTTGCTGCTATCCCAGGTGCATTAGCAGGGAGCTGAATTGGAAGTGGAGCAAGCTGGACTTAGTGGTGCTGTGATATGGGACACTGGCATTGCAAGCTTAACCTGCTGTGTTACAACACTAACAGGAGTTTTTATTTTAAAAGATTTCTTCTTATGGATAAAATTAATGAATTTGAAAGGCAGAGAGACAGAAAAAGAGGGGGAGTCACCCAGTGGATGGAAGATCCCTCCCTCTCACCCTGCCTTTCAAATAAATAAAAAATAAATAAATGAATAAAAATAAATAAATAGGCTTAGCCCTCAACAAAAGTGGAAAATCTGAACAAAAGCTGCATGCCAGGGCCTCCCAGCAACCAAAAAGAAATGTTCGTGCACCGATTTCCTAAGTCACTGTGGGAACTACTGCTGATGACCTGGAGGCTCCTGGAGGGAAACCGGGTCCCGGCTTTGGCACTGTCAGCTGCTGAGCCCGTGGGCCCAGGGCAGTGGTGGAGATGGACTCACGTGCTGCAGGGAGGGCAGTGGTGTTTCTCGGACTCCTGCCTGTCCTGGGGCCCCCTGGAGGGAGCCTCCTGCCTGTCCGTGTCCCAGGAGGGCAGCCAGGCCTGGAAGTGTCCCCAGGAGATCAGAGCAGCCCCTCCCTGCCTGAGACGGCCTCCATCCTCCGGGTACGGGAGGCCAGGAGTGCCTGGAGCCAAATGGAGTGATCCTGTTCCAGCCCAGGGCCGGGAACTTGGGATCCAAAGGAGGGGTTGAGTGGAACACACAACTTCCCTGGGATTCGGGGCTGGGGGCAAATGATGCAGAGGGGTGGTGGGAGGCCCTGGCATGCAGCTTTGTTCAGATTTTCCACTTTTGTTGAGGGCTAAGCCTGTGCCCAGGGGATGCAGACTAATTTCAGGATTAGTTTAAGCCAGAAATAATTGGGAAGGTTAAACTTGCAAAACAGAAAAAGCACACAGCACACTTCCAAGACGAAACCCTTTCTGGATTATCCCAAGTCCTAGCCTGCATCTGTCTGCTCTGGGCTGGGGTTTCCTTGTTTCCTGGGCCCTCTCTCCTATAGACCTTCATCTGACTTGACACTCACTTGTTGTGGTATTGGCCTTGGGGGAGGCGGGCAAGGGCGGAGTGGGTTCTTCCGGCTTTTAGGTAGAGAGTCTGGTGCCGTAGACTTCCTACTGTGCTTTGGGCAGGAGCATGACCTGGACTTCCGGAGACTCCTGGATGCCAGCACTTACAAGGAGGCCTATCGGAGGGACATGATCCGCTGGGGGGAGGAGAAGCGCCAGGCTGACCCGGGCTTCTTCTGCAGGAAGGTTGTGGAGGGCGTCGCCCAGCCCATCTGGGTAAGAGAGCTCCGGGGCGGCTCAGAAAACCTGTGCCCCGGCCCTCTGCCTTGGCCTCCTCGCTCTGTCTCTCCTGCCACCGCATTGGTCCATGACCCCTCTGTCAGTCACCAGGACAGTCGCCATAGCCTCTGCGCCAGTTCCTGGCTTGGGCTCTTGCCCCCTGTGACCCATTCTTTGCATAGCAACCAGAGTGACCTTTTGAAAACATAAAGCAAGTCCTGGCCCAAGGCGGCTTCCCCGCGGTTCCCGCCCCAGCGTTTGGGTTTGTGCCGTGGGCTCCGGCCACCCTTTCAACCTCCTTCCTCTTTGAGCTGCAGATGACCCAGCCTCTCTGTGTTTCTCATGTAAGTCCTGCCCCTTCTAGAAGCAGCGCTTGGCACATGTCCCTCTAGCTGCCTGCTTTGCCTCGCCTCCCCGGCCCTCAGCTCCATGTATAGGACACCTGCCCAGGGAAGCCTTAGCTGGGGCTCTGTGACAGGTGCTCCCGTGTGCCCCTCCACTTTCCCACCCTCATCCATTCTGCTAGGAAACCCTGCGTATCTCCTTAGGCCAGGCATGGTTCTGGGTCTGCAGATCCAGCGGTGTGCATCTCTGACTTCCGGGAGCTTATACTCTGGCTGGGGGAAGGCAGGAGGTGGGCACAAAATAAGTGAAGATGTGTCAGGTGGGGGCTGATATTAAGGAGCCAATGGCAGCAGGCCTCACTGACAGGGAGGCATCAGAGCAGGACCTGAAGGAAGGAAGTGCAGGAGGTGGGGACTGGATCGTGGGGACAGAGTTGCATGGAGGCCAGGGGTGCGGCGTGTGCCTCTGAGTGTGAGGAAGAGAGCTGGGGCAGGAGTGGGCAAGGGTGTGCAGTGGGAGGGATGGCCGAAGAGCCTGGGTTTTGCTCTCTGTGAGTGGGGGAGAGGCGTGCTCAGATGGAAGACATGAAGGGCTCTCCCAATGCATAGGCAGGAGGCTAGGTCGAGGGTCATTCTGTAACCTAGACAGAATGACCGCCACTCGGCTCCACTGGAGAGAAGGGGTTGATTTTGCACGTAGTTTGAAGATGGAGCCAGCAGGGTATGCAGATGGGTTGGCTCCTGTGATTGAGCACGGGACACTGTACCAAGGATTTTGTTCCGAGCAGCAGGAGCAGTCAAGTTGTCGTTTTCTGAGGCAGGCAAGGTGCAGAACAGGATTGGAGAGAAAGTAAGGAGTTGCGCTTGGGCCATGCTGAGGCTGGGGCGTTTGCCTGCCTGCACGGTGCCTGCCCGTTGTTGGGAAGCTGCTCATTTACCATCTGTAAGGTCCGAGGGACGGGCATGTAGTTGGTTTTCTGACCACGCTACTCGCGTTGCTGGGCCCAGTGCCAGCACACAAGAGGTGCTTGCTGTATACTCGTGTAATGGTTGGGGGAACGAATGTGTCATCTGTGCTCAGCGGCACACACATCCAATGAATGAGTGAATGAATGAACACGGATGTGTTCCTGCCATGGGGTGGGGGGTGGAGGGGCACCACTGCTCTGGGTTCTGTAGCCCCCTTCCCCTCACCTGTTTGTGTCCCTCCCCTCAGCTGGTGAGTGACACACGGAGGGTGTCCGACATCCAGTGGTTTCGGGAGGCCTATGGGTCCGTGACGCAGACGGTCCGCGTGGTAGCCTCGGAGCAGAGCCGACAGCAGCGGGGCTGGGTGTTCACACCAGGTGAGCTGCTCGTGGTGTTTGTCTCCAGGGCCTGGTTCACAGCTCAGGCACCCCACATGTAGGACTGTAGGGTGCAGGCATGTACCCCCACGTTCTAAGTCTCCTGTTCTTCCCCAGCAGCCCTAGGGGAGTGAGAGAGAGCTTATCAGGGAGTCTGAGGCCTGGGGCTCAGGAGTAGGAAGTTGTGGAAAAGAATTGGAGAGGAAATCAGATTAGGGAGTGGGGTGGCAGAGGGCATCCTTTTGTGACCTTGGCCTGGTCCCTTTCCATGGGCTATCTTCTCAAGGCCAGTGGGCATCTCTGGAGGCCTGGCTGGGACCCACCCCCGTGGTCTATTGCCATTGCTTTCCAGCCTGCTGGGGGCCTGTGATGGCCAGGGGGCGAGCCTGATAAACCTCTCTCCTGTTTGATTAATGGAGCAGTGGGGGCAGCAGAGGAGCTGCTACTGGGCACCTCAGCCATGTCCCCTGCTCCCGGCACCTGCTCTGTGGGTTCAGGGCACAGCTCAGGCATCCTGCCTACCTGAGGTCACTGGGACTCCAGGGAGCTCAACTCCAGTCATATGACCATACAGGCCAGACCTGTGCTAAGCATTCTATACACATTATCTCACTTTATCTGCCTTCCACCCGGTGGCCACTCTTACTGCCATTCCCATGGTCACATGTGGGCGTCAGTGGGGAGGTTCAGTCTCTTTCCTAGGGTCACAAAGAGTGGGAGGAGGAAGTGACTGTCAGCCCTCTGCTTCTAACCCCGGTCACACACTGCCCCCAAGAGGATGGGGTCAGACAGGTTTAGGGTTGGAAGTGGACATAGACAACTTGGCCTAATGTGAAAGTGTAGTGGCCCGTTTGGGTGGTCTGTGTGGTGGCAAGAGAAGAGGTGACTCCACTGGAACCGCTGGGGGGCTCCGGTGACCATGGCTGCTGAACACAACCAAGCATTTCAGGATGGGAGCACGGTTCTGGGGGTGGGAGAGCCTGGCTGGGGACAGCAGAGGAGAGGCAAGGGGGTCTGGGGGGCCTGGGTCTCACCTTGCCATGCCTCGTTCACAGGGATAGATGATGCTGAGTCCGAATGTGGCCTGGATGACTTTGGGGACTTTGACTGGGTCCTGGAGAACCACGGAGATGAACAGCGCCTGGAGGAGCAGTTGGAGAATCTGTTGGAGTTTGTCCGCTCCAGACTTTAGGGCTCAGCACTGCGGCGGGATAGGGGTTGGGGGAGGAAGGTCCCTGATCTTGGCTCGGGAAGGGGGTTGCAGACAGAGGGCCTGGGTCTGGATTTCTGCGGGTGTTGGTGGATGTTGGGTACATCGGAGGGCCAAGGGGGACCCTGTTTTCTCCATGGAGAGAGTGTTTCAGCCTCTGGCATGAGTCTGGCAGCACCAGAGGGTGAACCAGCTGTGGGTGAAGCAGAAATGTCGCCATCCCTGGGGCCAGGCGTGTCGGCACGTGGTGGCCTCATTTCTCTGTGTGGTGCTCTAGCTGCAGGGCTCCCCAGTGTGAGTGCCAGTAAACCGCCTTGCAGCACACGCTCAGAGCGGGGTGGCGCTCATTTCCCTCACACGCTGCGGGCAGTAGGTCTGTCAGTGGCGAAGGTGGGATGGGAGTCTGAGGGTCCTGGCTTTTTTGGGCTGGCCTCAGAGAGGCTCTGTATTCCCCAGCAAGTGCACCTTTGATTTGTGAGGCCTTTGCAATTCCTGAATTTCTTCTAGATTCTTCTCTGCCGCCTTGTGAAACAGGCAAGGAGAGTCATTACCCATCCGTGTTTGGCAGATGCCAAGAACTTGGCTTGCCCGGGGCCAGAGGGTTGATAAGCATCGGTGCTCAGTGTGAAGCAGAGCAGAAGCTGCCTGACGCCTGGCCATGGCCCCCCCTGCCATGTCCCTGGGCGTGTGGTGCGAAGGCCCTGGCCGCTTGGCATCTTCAGGCCGAGCCTCCATGCCCCCTCTGCTGCCTGGCCTCATTCTCCCCCCACAGCTTGTGTTAGTTCTGCTGGATCAGGGGCCATCCAAGGACATGATGATCTCTGTGTGACCCAAACTGAACGTGGCCCAACTCTTCATCCGCTGCTGCTGCCGCCTCCCTTGCTGGGTGCCAGGCCCTGGGACACAAAGGTGAACTGGACACAGGCTCTTCCTCAAAAGAGCTTTCAGCCTGCAGGAGGGACTCAGGTGTACCTGAAACCATGCCTGGGAACTGAAGTCAGAGCCAGAGAGAACAACCGTGGAGCCCCAGGGCCAGAGCTGGGACTTCATGAGCCGAGGCCTGACACGTCCAGGTGAACACGGACCCCTCGTCTCGGGCGCTGCCACCGCTGCTTGGACATTGTGCTCTGGAGCCCAGAGCATATGCTGGAGAGCAGTCCTAGCCATGGAAGTGACCGCAAGTCCCTAGGGCTAGTCTGGTGAATGTGCAGGAAAATGGGTCCCAAAACCAGGAAGAGTATGAAGCAGGCGGGAAGCGTGGGGTAGGACTCTGCAACTGAGAGGAGCCCTAGAGCCCAAGCCTTGTTGTTGACAAGGGCCCCTGGGCGGCTAGTGCAGAGAACCCCGCAGGGTGCCCCCAACAAAGAGACATGCAGGTACTCCAAAAAGTTAGTGGAAAATGGAATTAAAAGATAAGTTTATATAGCACTTAAGGTGCAGTGAAGGTGCCGCTTGGGATGCCTGTGTCTTATATTGCAGTGCCTGTGTTCTAGTCCTGGTTCTGCTCCTGATTCTAGCTGGCATCCTGCTAATGTGCTCCCTGGGAGGCAGTAGCCAAAGACTCAAATAATTGGGTTCCTGCCACCCATGTCAGAGACCTGGATTGAGTTCTGGACTCCTGGCTTTGGTCTGGCCCAGGCCTGGCTGTTGCAGGCATTTGGGGTTTGAACTGGTGAATGGAAACTCTGTCTCTCTGCTTTTCAAATAAATAAAATAAATTCAACATTTTAAGAGATTAAGTTGTTTTGGGACCAAAACCCTAGAAGTCACGCTTAGGTTTTCCATAATACACATTTTCCTTAAACTTTTTGGAGCCCTCTGGTATGTAGAAAATGTTTTGCACCAGAGGCTGGTGCTGTGGTATAGTGGGTAGAACTGCCACCTGTGGTGCCTGTATCTTATATGGGCTCTGGTTCCAGTCCCCTCTGCTCTGCTTCCCATCCAGCTCCCTGCTAATGCTCCTGGGAAAGCAAGAACAGAGGGCTCAATTGCAGGGGCCCCTGCACCCACATGGGAGACCAGGAAGAAGCTCTTGGGGCCTAGCTTCAGATTAGCCCAGCTCTGGCCATTGTGGCCATTTGGGGAGTGAACCAGTGGATGGAAAATCTCTCTCTCTCTCTCTCTCTCTCTCTCTGTAACTGCTTTTCAAATAAATCTTGAAAAATATTTTGCACCAAAATAAATTTATTTTTAAATTTTGTTTTCCATGAACTTTTCAAAGTCCCATCATATTGAGCAAATTTAAAAAAAAAAAAGATTTATTTTCTTTATTTGAAAGGCAGTTGTAAAGAGAGGGGGAGAAACAGAGAGATCATCCATCTGCTGGTTTACTGCTCAAATGTCTGCAACAGCTGGGGCTGGGCCAGGCTGAAGCAAGGAGCCAGGAACTCCATTCGGGTCTCCCAAGTGGGTGGTAGGGACCATTTTCTGCTGCTTCCCAGGCACATTAGCAGGAAGCTGGATTGGAAGTGGAGCAGCTTAACCTGCTATGCCACAACGTCAGACCCCCAAATCCAGCAAATTAAATCAGACAACAACAAAGTCAAGGGCTTAGTCTCAAATCGCAGCTGCCTGCGGGCGCCACTAATCTGTGATCCTCCTGACTATGGTTACAAGTTGTCCCCATTTCAAAGAAGAGCCGACAGACTGCGGGGTCTTGTGATACAGTTCTGCTCAGCTGGGACCACAAATTCTGCACTGTGTGAGCTGCCGTTTGAGTTCAGGTTTGTCTTGCAGCCAAGCCCACAGACTTGAGCCCGCCTCCACTCCCCCAACACCTCCTGCATCGCCACTTCAAAGGAGCCCCTTATTTGGGCAGAAATACTCTGGTATTTGTCTTTAGGAAGAACAGTTCCCGTAACTAAGGTGTGTGAGCAGAGCCGAAAGTGAGCCGCTTGTGGCCAGCCGTGCAGGAAGCCGTGGTCGCGCGGCCTGCCAGGAGCGCCCCCGACAGCTGGCAGGGGACGTTTATGTGTAATTCCGAGACTAGGCAGCAGGGGGCGTCTGTTGTGGATTCAAGGGCGGGGGGCACTTGAAGGAGGGTGGGGGAGAGGCAGGGTCGCCTCCCCTACGGAGAAGGTGGTGATGAGGACATCATGAGAACACAGGAAGCGGTGTGAGGCCAGGTACAGCGTGGGAGAGCGCGAGAACCCTACGGGGTCGGAGGGCAGTTCACGTGATGGGGCGGCCAGGGAGGCAGAGCAGACCCAGGATGGGGGGCCGCGATGTCTGGCCGAGGAGGCTGAGAGAGGCCCGTTGATGGCTCTAAGAGCGGGGGGAGCACAGGGGTCCCTGCAGCAGCTTCTGTAGGGTTCCAGGCAGGCGGCGGTGAAGGCTGAAGAACAGCTGGGGTTGCTGGCGGTGGTGTTCAATCCTGTTTCGCCTCAGCGCCCCTGAGCCGGGGAGGCGGGAGTTTTCTGGGCAGCGAGGCCGGCCCGACCCTGGGAGCCGAGCGGTGCGCCGCGCCGCGGGACCCAGCCAGGCCTCTGCGCGCGGGCCCTGGCTCCGGAGCTTCTGCTTTGTGGGCACCCCCCGCGGTCAGCACCGCGTGGCTCTCGGAGCTGGGGGCGCCGTCCAGTGAGTGTCCCAGAGGACTGCACAGGGGCCGCGTCTACAGAAGCGGGGCACCGACAGGCCGCGTGCGTGAGGGAAAGCCATGGAGCTTCCCGCGCTGCCTTCCCAGGGGTAGAGCCCGAGCTCCTGGCCCGTGTGAGCTTGGGGGTCTCGTGGCCTCGGGGCTGGACTTGCCACCCTGGCGCTGGGCGCTGGGAGGAACCGCGGGATCCTGACTTGGGAAGCCAGAGGTGCATCCCCCACCTCGTGGTGGGTTGGCGTCGATGCCTCTTGAGATGGGAAGCCTCCTGGCTGAGCAGAGTCGCTTCAGTTGCGCTTGAAAGTTCCTCCATAGTTTTTTGTTAACCGGCACTTCTCTAAATATCGGGAAGCCACCGCGTGCAAAGCTGGCATCTCATATAGGCGGGGTTCCTGCCCAGCTGCTCCATTTCTAATCCAGCTTCCTGCTATGGCCTGGGAAAACAGCGGAAGATGGCCCAAATCCTTGAGCCCCTGCACACCCGGGAGACCTGGATGGAGTTCCTAGCTCCTGGCTTTGGCGCGACCCAGCCCCAGCCATATGGACATTTGGGGAGTCAACCAGTGGATGAAAGACCTCTCTCTGTGTGTCTCCCCTCTCTCCCGCTCTCATTCTGCCTTTCAACTAAATGAATAAAAGTAAAAAAAAAAAAAAAAAAAGCAAAAGTCAGTAATGACACTGCCTTTTGACACCTTATACCATGATGACAACCTAAGCTGTGTTTGTTTCTTCTACCCTACCTCTGCCAGACTGTGCTAACTTCGTGGTTATATTTTCCCAGAACCTCTGTCATTTAGAACATTATGTATATGTTCTTTTAATCATTTGAATTATTTGTAACACATTCTCTTAATTTTTTTATTTGTAGACAACTTTGCTGAGATATGATGAGCATACAATAACTGCATATATGTCAGATGGGCAATTTGGTCAGTTTTGACATATGTGTGCTTAAAATATCACTGTAGTTATCACGGCTACATCTACAGCTCTCAAAATTTTTCCTCGTGTCCCCATTTAACCCCGCCCCTGCCTCTCCCTTCTCCTTACCTGCTCTCCAAGCGGATCTGCAGCTGACTGTATAGATTGGTTTGCATTTTCAAGAATTTTGTATAAATAATCATATAGTATATGTTCTTTTTTGTCTGGTTTGTTTTTTAAAAAAAATTATTTGGGGTGGACTTTGTGTGCAAAAGGTTTAACCACCACTTGGGGCGCCCGCATCCCATATTGGAGCGCTAATGCACCTGGGAAGCAGAGGGTATTGGCTCCAGCTCTTGGGCCCTGCCACCCACATGGGAGACTCTGGTGGAGTTCCTGGCTTCCTCCGGGGCCAGCCCCAGCTGTTGCCACTAGTTGGGGAGTGAACCAGTGGATGGGAGATAGATCTATTATCTATCAATGTACCTGTCTATATCTCTCTGTCACTCTGATTTTCAAATAAATAAACCTTTGCAAATTATTTTCCTAATTTATTTGAAAGGCAGAAAGAGGTGGAGAGGGAGAATAAGGTGGTGGTGGGGGGGGAGGGAGATAGCACTCCCATGCACTGGTTCACTCTACAGGCTGGGCCAGGGCAAAGACGGGAGCGAGGAACCACATCCAGGTCTCCCATGTGGACAGCAGGAGCTCAAGTACTTGAGCCATCACTGTTGCCTTCCACCCAGGGTGCATATTAACAGGAAGCTGGAATTGGGAGCAGAGCCAGAACTCAAACCCAGACACTCTGATGTGTGGTGTGGGAGTCCTAAGAGGTGGCTTAATTGTTTTGAGACTCACCCATGGTCTCGCAGGTACCAGTGGTCATTTCTTTTTACTGCTGGCCTTTGGTACGATTATACCACAGTCACCAGATGATGAGGGTTTGGATTCCTTCCAACGTTTGGATTTGACAAATGAAGCCACCATGAGCATTCATGCACAAGTCTTTCTGTGGACGTGTGCTTCCATTTCTCTCGGATAAAAACCTGTCTAACTTCATAAGAAACTGCCAAACTCTGTTCCAAGTGGTTGTAACACACGGCCACCAGTAGTGCAGGAGAGGGCCAGTTGCCCTGCAGCCTTCCCACTGATCCCAGTGTTTGATTCTAGCCATCCTAGTAAGGATGTAGTGCTACTCGCTATCATTTTATTTGCATTTCTCTAATATAAAGCTGATACAAATCCCATATTCCTGTTTGATAAAATCAGCAAACCAGAAATAGAACGCGATGTCCTCAGCCTGCTAAGAACACCCACAGGAGTAGACATTGTGACGCAGAAGATTAAACCATTGCTTTGGACGCCTCATCCCATGTCCAAGTGCCAGTCTGAGTCCTGGCTACTCCGCTGCCTGTCCAGCTTCCTGCTAATGTGTCCTGAGAAGCAGCAGGTAATGGCTAGCTCTTGGGCTCCAGCCACTCACATGCGAGACCCAGATGGAGTTTGGTCTCCTGCCTCAGCCTGCCCACCCTGGCTGTTGTGAGCATTTGGGGGGTGAGCCAGCACATGGAAGATCTCTCTGTCTCTTTCTAGCTCTGTTTTTCAAATAAGTGAACAATAAATAAATGGACATTAAAAAAAAGAATGTCTACAAAAACCTTAAAGCCAACAGCATACTTAATGTTGAAATACTAAATGTTTTTTCTGTAAGGCTGGGAAGAAGGCAACAGTGTCTGCCCTCATCACATAGTGAGTGTTCCACTGGAGGTTCTAGCCAGTGCAATAACACAAGAAAAAGAAATAAAAGGAATTCATGGGCCAGTGTTGTGGTGCAGCGGGTCAAGCCACCATGTGCAGCGCTGGCATCCTGTGGGAGTGCCTGCTGCTCCACTTCCAATCCAGCTCCCTGCTAATGTGCCTGGAAAAGCAGCAGAGGATGGCCAAGTAGAGGGAGGCCCAGATGAAGTTACTGGCTCCTGGCTTCCACCTGGCCTAGCCCTGTCAGTTGTGGCCATTTGGGGAGTGAACCTGAGGATGGAGAAATCTTTTTTCTCTCTCTTTCTCTGTACCCTCCCCTGCAAATCTGCCTTTCAAAGAAAATAAATTTAAATAAGTAATAAACAAGTAAATGAATAAATAAAAGAGATCCAAGGGGCTGGTGCTGTGGCATAGCAGATTTAAGCAGTGGCCCGCAGCGCCCACATCCCATATGGGTACCGGTTCAGGTCTCGGCTACTCCACTTCCAATCCAGCTCTCTGCTATGGCCTGGGAAAGCAGTAGAAGATGGCCCAAGTCCTTGGGCTCCTGTGCCCGTGTGGGAGACTCAGAAGAAGCTCCTTACTCCTGGCTTCGGATCAGCTCGGCTCTGGCCATTGCGGTAATTTGGGGAGTGAATCAGTGGATGGGAGACCTCTCTCTCTCTCTCTCTCTCTCTCTCTCTTTCAAATAAATAAAATAAATCTTAAAAAAAAAAAAGAAATCCAAATTGGGAAGGAAGAAATAAAACTATATTTATAGATAACATCTATGTAGAAAATTTGATGAGATTTCCAAAAAAACTGCTAGAATTGATAAATGAGTTTAACAATGTAAAATATCATGTCAGTACACTAAAATCAGTTGTGTTTCTACTTGTTAATGATGAGTCATCAAAATGAAAATAAATAATAGTATCAAAAATATGAAATAGCGATAAATCTGGTAAAAGACAGGTGAGGCCTACACATTGGGAGTTTTACCCAGCAGTTAAGATGCTGCTTGGGACACTTGCATCCCATAGCCAGGGTGACTGGGTTTGAGCCCCAGCTCTGCTTCCAATTCCAGTTTCCTGCTGATGAATACCCGAGGAAGCAATAGGTGATGGCTCAAGTAGTTGGGTTCCTGCCACCCCACACGGAAGACCTGCCCTGAGTTCTGACTTTGGCCTGGCCAGCCCCAGCTGTTGCAGATATTTGGGAAATGAACCAGAAGATCATTCTATCTCTGTCTTTCAAATATATGAAAGAATAAAGAAATAAAAATTAAGAGGCCAGCGCTGTGGCCTAGCGGGTAAAGCCACTGCCTGCAGTGCTGGAATCCCATGTGGGTACTGATTCAAGTCCTGGCCACTCCACTTTCGATTCAGCTCTCTGCTGTGGTCTGGGAAAATGATGGAAGATGGCCCAAGTCCTTGGGCCCCTGCATCTGCACGGGATATTTGGAGGAAGCTCCTGGCTCCTGGTTTCACTTCGGATCGGCCCAGCTCTGGCCCTTGTGGCCATCTGGGAAGTGAACCAGCAGATGAAAGATCTCTTTCTCTGCCTCTGCCTCTCTAACTCTGCCTTTCAAATAAATAAATAAGCAAATATTTAAAAAAAATTGAAAAGACCTGCAAAACTACAAAACATTGCTGAGAGAAATTAAAGAACTAAATAGATTAAACCATACTTACAGATTAGGTGTCTCTTATTAAGATATTATTCATTTAAAAAATTAAGAAATGATTACAGGGCCGGCGCCGCAGCTCAACAGGCTAATCCTCTGCCTAGCGGTGCCAGCACACTGGGTTCTAGTCCTGGTCGGGGCACCGGATTCTGTCCCGGTTGCCCCTCTTCCAGGCCAGCTCTCTGCTATGGCCAGGGAGTGCAGTGGAGGATGGCCCAAGTGCTTGGGCCCTGCACCCCATGGGAGACCAGGATAAGTACCTGGCTCCTGCCATCGAATCAGCATGGTGCGCCGGCCGCAGCGCGCCGGCCGTGGCGGCCATTGGAGGGTGAACCAACGGCAAAGGAAGACCTTTCTCTCTGTCTCTCTCTCTCATTGTCCACTCTGCCCACTCTGCCTGTCAAAAAAAAAAAAAAAATTAAAAAAAAAAAAGAAATGATTACATACAGGGACATGTACTGTATAGCTCAGTGAATTTTTAAAATCTTTTTTTTAATAAAAGATTTATTTGAAAGGCAGAGTTATAGAGAGATAGAGATATTCCATCTGCTAATTTACTCCCCGAATGACTGCAACAGCCGGGGCTGAGCCAGGCTGCAGGCAGGAGCAAGGAACTCCTTCTGGGTCTTCCACGTGAGTGGCAGGGGCTCAAGTACTTGGGCCATCTTGTGCTACCTTTCCAGGTGCATTAGCAGGGAGCTGGATCAGAAATGGGGCAGCTGAGACTGAAACCAGTGCTCATATGGGACGCTGGTGGTGCAGATGGTGGCTTAAGCCACTGTGCCACAACCCTGGCTCAGGTCAGTGGATTTTGACGAATGTGTCCACTTGTGTAATGTAAACCCTTGTGAAGACAGAGGTTATTTCTGTTATTTAGAAAGTTTCCTCTTGGCCGGCGCCGTGGCTCAATAGGCTAATCCTCCACCTTGCGTCGCCGGCACACCGGGTTCTAGTCCCGGTTAGGGCGCCGGATTCTGTCCCGGTTGCCCCTCTTCCAGGCCAGCTCTCTGCTATGGCCAGGGAGTGCAGTGGAGGATGGCCCAGGTGCTTGGGCCCTGCACCGCATGGGAGACCAGGAAAAGCACCTGGATCCTGGCTCCTGCCATCGGATCAGCGCGGTGCGCCGGCTGCAGCGGCGGCCATTGGAGGGTGAACCAACGGCAAAAGGAAGACCTTTCTCTCTCTGTCTCTCTCTCTCACTGTCCACTCTGCCTGTCAAAAAAAAAAAAAGTTTCCTCTTGACCCTTCCCACTACATCCCTGCCCTTCCGGAAACAAATACTGCTTTATTTTCTTTACTGTATGTTAGTTTTTCCTCTTC